TTTTTCTGTAAAACCACATCTTTGAGGCCTCAAGAAATTGTATGGCCTGCCTACCGATTGTCCAGGACTCACCGCCATATGTAAAAACTGGATGCTATACAATGCAACTGGGTCGCAGTTGCTTCTGCTACGACATACTTAGGCAACAGCAACTATTGTGTTAATGAGAGAGGTATTTCAGTTTATCGCAGTGTATGCAGAAACGGGTGTAAGGTAACCACTATTCGTATTCGGCCCGACAGCAAGTATTCGGCCGAATACCGAATAGTTATTAGGTCCACTATTCGGCTAATACGAAGCGAATATTCGGTAGAGCCCTAATTCTAACATCCTCCATATGAGTCTTGGAAGACTAATTATTGGGAACATTGTTTTGAAATGTAAGAACAAATGATATGAAGTCATAGTAATATTTAGAAGTAAGGAGAAGAAATAAAAAATCGAATAACTAATAATGCTTCCTCCAGGTGCGACAACCTTTAGAAATTAGACAATAGCCAAAGAGAATCAAAACCAGGGCACTTGTGGCATAGAACACGATCCAGACGATGACATCAAACTGTGTCAACCTATGTGTGTCCGACATCCAGTGACCGAAATGTTTGGACTCCTCTAGGTACAGATAAAACAGGTCACTGTCATTGACTATAATGGCTGGTTTTGTGGGCTGCTGGATTCTTCTGGTGCGCATGCCTGGCTGTATGTCTGCATCCGGCTGTTTCAAAATCTCGACTATGTGTGCTTTTATCTGACGCAACGTAATGTCCTGTTCAGGTTGTGTAACCGTCTCTATAACTGCTGATGTCTGCAGTAGGTTAGTGGATATCGCTGGGGAGTAGAATTTCACGAGAAATTCCATTACTCTCGTGGTGTCCCAGGACCAGGTGGATCCAGTAGCTGGGAAGGTTCGAACCCGGCAGTGAGGACACATGTTTTCAGATGGGAACTCTATCTTGGGGAACTTTGGGTCTTCAGATGGGTCTCCATGGAGCCGCTGGTTGACACTGTTGTGGCTTTCCCACAGCCACAAAACCGCTGCTTTGTGGTTAACCACTTTAGTCTTGATGGAGCGAGTCAGCCACAGGAAGTTTCTGGAGCACTCCTGGCAGCCAAAGAAATCTTTCATGTAGTCTCGCACAGCCAAGAGGACTTCGTCAGCTCTGATATCATCTTGAGTTGAAGATAAATGGACATTACGTTTCATAGGAAATACCGCAAAAATAATATTCTCATACTCAACATACTCTCGTATGGGCCCGAAGGTTTTGGGTTTAAAAAATAATAGATTTGTTGTTTTCCACACAACTCAGCCTCAGTGATAGAGGTTACTAGGAAGTAAAGACAACCTGCTTGATGTTGATCGTATCACTCATCCTCTTCTGAAATAAGTCTAGTCGTGCAGTCACATGAGTCTAGTGGTGCAGTCACATAAGTCTAGTCGTGCAGTCACATGAGTCTAGTGGTGCAGTCACGTGAGTCTAGTCATGCAGTCACATGAGTCTAGTGGTGCAGTCACATGAGTCTAGTCATGCAGTCACGTGAGTCTAGTCATGCAGTCACGTGAGTCTAGTCGTGCAGTCACAGGAGTCAAGTCATGCAGTCACATGAGTCTAGTGGTGCAGTCACATAAGTCTAGTGGTGCAGTCACATGAGTCTAGTGGTGCAGTCACATGAGTCAAGTCATGCAGTCACATGAGTCTAGTGGTGCAGTCACATGAGTCAAGTCATGCAGTCACATGAGTCTAGTGGTGCAGTTACATGAGTCTAGTCATGCAGTCACATAAGTCTAGTGGTGCAGTCACATGAGTCTAGTGGTGCAGTCACATGAGTCTAGTGGTGCAGTCACATAAGTCTAGTGGTGCAGTCACATAAGTCTAGTGGTGCAGTCACATAAGTCTAGTGGTGCAGTCACATGAGTCTAGTGGTGCAGTCACATAAGTCTAGTGGTGCAGTCACATGAGTCTAGTGGTGCAGTCACATAAGTCTAGTGGTGCAGTCACATAAGTCTAGTGGTGCAGTCACATGAGTCTAGTGGTGCAGTCACATGAGTCTAGTGGTGCAGTCACATGAGTCAAGTCATGCAGTCACATGAGTCTAGTGGTGCAGTCACATGAGTCAAGTCATGCAGTCACAGGAGTCTAATGGTGCAGTCACGTGAGTCTAGTCGTGCAGTCACATACATGCATTCACCTCAATTATTCACATAACACTCATCGTTATACTAATTCACAGGTATGCATTATTTGTTCTCATTCACATGTATACGTTTGTTACACTAATTCACTTATTACAGACACAAACACTCGCAGGAAGGGTCACAATAATAAACATTATTCACATAACCACGATAAAGAAGCAGACACAAGCAAATAAGACAGACATTCGGACGGGCATACAGAAATAGTTCTACAACAATGACCACAGGAGGAGACACACGGATAATTTAATTTCCCAAAAAAGTCAAGGACTCCACCCAGTGCCTCTCAAAAGAGGCTCCTCTTAGATAGCCGAAGCAGACAATCTAATTTAGCAAGTGTGTGATCTAGGCGAGATCAGTCATGAAAAAAGGGAGGGACTGCAGGAGTCAGTACCTGCCACCGTAGACGCCGAAATTAGGGCACTGACTGATCTGCAATCACCCCCAGAAGACGTCATTTACACAGAAGGGTCTGCGAAACGCGGATCAAGATCAACATGGGCATACACAGCATAAAGGATGGGGCAAACATAAAAGAGAGCGGTGCTTACCAGACAACTACATCAAGCAGGACCATGGATATAGCTGCAGCTTCCAGGGCACTCGCGTGAGTAGCAGAACAAGCTGTAATCTTTTCAGACTCTATAAACGTGCTTCAGAAAATCGCCTCAGTCTACGCTCTGAAGAGGTAGAAAGCATTCAAAAGTCGCAGTTAACCTCCATCATGTGGATCTACAAACCTGGGCACGCAGGAGTTAATGGCAATGAGAGCGCTGACCAGCTGGCAAGTAATGCACCAATGTAAACGGGAAGAAGCATAGACAGAGCTGATATCATCAATGCTGTGCGGATAAGGCTAGGGGATAACGGCGAATCTCTGATGCTAACACGACGGCGTGACAGAGGAGTTAGGCTTGGTAAAGCCCGTCTAAACCGTCTTCGATGTAAAGATAGGAAACACTACATCGAACTCTTCATGGGAGCAATCAGTAGAGGTACCTCGGAGTGGCTGCTGCAAATGAGGACTGAGCACGCACGGGGATGCCTAATGTGCAAAGACGTTGATTATGATAACATAACGTAACATAACATAACATACACAAATGGACAGACAAGTCAAGAGAAGACCTACGTGTCTCTGCACTCTGAATGTAAGCTTGTACAGTTAGCGTGTGGTACAGCATCCACATACTGCAAGGGTAGCCTCGGTACTGAGGGAAACTGCCCTGGCAAGACTCCCATCTGGTGCTCTCTGGGAGGAAGTGGTCCTTGTCCTGTTGAGAGACACGAGGCACATGTGGTAGTCACGTTTAACACCTCCAAACACATTTGTCAGTCTATCGTTACTGCATGCACGTGCCACCTTTTAGCGCCAGGAAGCTAAATAGTGGGGAGACGGCGAAAAAAAACCCTAGTCTCAGGATTTAGGGTCGCATGGCAAGTGCGAACGCCACGAACTGTGCAGGTTAGGATTTTGTATTTTTGCCCCTGAAAGTTGTGATCACCTTGCTGTGGCAAACACATGCTCCCTGCATAACAGCCTACGTTCTAACCGATCCAGTATTTTGTTATCCTGTCTTTCTATAAGAGTTGGCTCTGTGGCTAAGTCGATACGAACGTTTCGTAATGCCGGGTTCGATCCTAGCTGCGGGCCATGGGCCTTGCATTGGTTTCGACAGTGTTATCAAGAAAGCCGACCGTCCAGGAGCAATGGCAAACTACTGGACGTAAGTTGGTTCTGCAACGTCCTGTAAAGGATACGCAACTAACCTTTCCGTAAGAAGACGTAATTCTACAGAGGTTTCCTGGTTACTACAATTCTTCAGTGATCACATATTTGTCTGTTAGTCTGCTCGGCAAATAAACAGTTGACACATTAGTGAAAAGGGAGTGGCCTTGGCATTGGCGGCTAAACGCCCGCCTGCGGTCGTGGGTTCGCCTCCTGATGTAGCCAGACTGGTTTTTTTTTTTTTTTTTTTCAAAAATGAACTCTCAGACTAGACTCCCAAGTCGATGCGGCCTTGAGTAGGTACCAGGTGCAGTCCTGGGAAGTAAAGACGGCCGGCTTGATGCTGACCCCATCACCCACCAAGTGCCGATTGGTCTATACAAATATAGGTCTAGCCCTGTATTCTCCAGTGCGCCTAAAGGTGTGGAAAAGGCACCTTGTCTTTTACTTTTTACATTAGTGATGCGATTTTCAAGACAAGTGATAAATGCCCACTGAACGGATCTACATTAGTGATGCGATTTTCAAGACGAGTGATAAATGCCCACTGAATGGATCTACGTTATTTTGTCATGTCATGAGAAGGAGAAAATTGCACTACGTCGTGACAGTGGTAAATTTGGAGGGAGAAAGATGCACAATGAACAAAAAGAGTAGATGATAGACAATCTGGCATCATGACATCGAAGACCATTTGTTTCATGGCTTATTGAAAGTACGCAGGACAGAAGGTTGTGGATAGACATGACCACCGACGTCACACGGCATGGACGTTAAGAAGAAGGGATAAAAAACCCCTGCCCCCCCCCCCCTCTTTCCACTACTATAGAAACTTTGACGAACAAGACGGCTTATTTGTTTTTTTCTGAAATCGGATGTGTTTAGCGGAAATGAGCAGATATTGCAGCCGAGATGTAAACCACACACAAGGCACCAATAACTCTTGTAAAAGCGAATCAAAAAGAAGAAGAAGAAGAAGAAGAAGAAGAAGAAGAAGAAGAAGAAGAAGAAGAAGAAGAAGAAGAAGAAGAAGAAGAAGAAGAAGAAGAAGAAGAAGAAGAAGAAGAAGAAGAAGAAGAAGAAGAAGGAGGAGGAGGAGGAGGAGGAAGAGGAGGAGAAAATGAAGATGATGATGATGATGATTATGGTGATGATGATGATGATGATGATGATGATGATGATGATGATGATGATGATGATGACATGAGCAATGAACAATACCTGCAGATGATCAATCTTCTCTGTCCAGTCAGTGCCGGAGATATTCGGAGATCTCAACTTGGCCAACATCTCGGACACCCGACTCAAAAAGCCTCGAACTGGCTGTCGACCAGGGAAGTACTGAAAGTATATCAGAGGAGTTAGCGAGACACTGAAGAATGAGAGAAAATCTCGTCTTACATGTGAACACGCGGCTAGGCTGGTATAAAAATAACTGGATGAGTTGGGGGAAAGTCAGGTGTCCATCGTCTCATCTCATCTTGATTCTCTGGTTCTTTGCCGTGTCGAGGTGAAGTATAATGTACGGGAAAGAGCCCGTTTGTGTGCTTCGCAATTGGTGATTCCCAAAGAATTTTTCATTTCCTCTGTCCATCACTTGCATAGTCGGCCTCTTTCCTGCCTGGTCTGTGGTATACTGTTTGCTGGCATCCGCGTTGTATGACCAAACCATTTCACTCGCTGTTTTATAATAAAATCCAGAGCTGCCACTAGCCCTAGTTTCTGTCGGGTTTCATGTTTCTTATCTGACCTCTTTTTGTGATATTCTCAATATTCTTGATAAGGGCTGTTAGCTCTTCTCGTGAAACTGATTTTACTTGTAATCTTTCTGTTCTCATTTTTTGTAATTGTTCAAGTCTGGCACTGATGGCACATGGCAAGAAGATTGTGTCATATTGAATCTATAGATGTTTTGGTTAGTAGCGTTTCCTTTACAGGACGGTGCAGAACCAACCCACAGCCCCTGGCTGTTGCGTGGTTTTTCTAGGCAAATTGACGTCCAGTAGTTACAGATGGATAATTAAAGTGAAAGGACAAGAGGATCGTTGGATTTTATCCCACAAGGCTCAGTCTTTCTTCTGCAGAACGACTAGCTCCCTGTCAAGGAGGTCAGAAAAAGCACGAACTCTGTAGCTCCAGCTGCAATCCCCATGGATCGTAAAAACTGCACTCTTGAATTGAACAACGCAGTCACGATATTTAGAGTGGAATGCTAACGGACTGACCACTTTGACAAAGAGACACAGTCAAGGACAATTCAGTTAAAGGCTGACTGAATAAGTAAACTGAGGAATAAATAGGCAGATTAATAATAATATTAATGGAGCTAATTATAAAATAAATGGACTGATGAATACCAAGGATAAATTAGCGTATAAATAAATGTGACTGAAGAATTAAATAAATAAATTACAGCATACGTAAACAGGTCCGACAAATAAATGGATAGATAAATGATTGAAAGGTGGGCTCACGAACAAATTAAAAATCATACCTTAACAAGAACTTTGATAAAATTTTGTAGAGAATGAAACTTGGTCGTGTCAATGGCACTGTTCATAGCCACCTCATGTCGTAAACAGTAATGTAACGCTGATTCTAGATCTTGCATACTCACTGACGACCTACACAACAATGTGTCAGATATAACATAAAGGTATCGACGCTTGAGAGTACCGGCAACATGAATGACACAATATCTCAGTGGCTTTACAATAGCTACGTTGTTTCAAGATGAATTCTTCCTAATTATTTTTCACATTTAAAGAGCATTGAGTTATTAGAGTTTTAAACTGAGCTATAGCATCTCCCCTACTAGAGTACAGGAATGATCTGTGGCATGTATCTTTTCTCAGAGTTCAGGAATGATCTGTGGCATGTGTCTTTTCTCAGAGTTCTGCAATGATCTGTGGCATGTGTCTTTTCTCAGAGTTCTGTAATGATCTGTGGCATGTGTCTTTTCTCAGAGTTCTGGAATGATCTGTGGCATGTATCTTTTCTCAGAGTTCTGGAATGATCTGTGGCATGTGTCTTTTCTCAGAGTTCAGGAATGATCTGTGGCATGTGTCTTTTCTCAGAGTTCTGGAATGATCTGTGGCATGTGTCTTTTCTCAGAGTTCTGGAATGGCATATACATATGCCCGCTACAACATTTCTGGACAAATCAATGGCATATGTCCTCTACAAGAGTTCGGGAATGATCTATGGCATGTCTGTCTTATATAAATACATTGTCCTACGTTAGAATCTAAAGTTATATCTCAGTACCTCTACGTTACATTTTAAAGTTTTATCTCAGTACCTCTACGTTAGATTCTAAAGTTATATTTCAGTACCTCTACGTTAGATTCTAAGTTATATCTCAGTACCTCTACGTTATATTTTAAAGTTATATCTCAGTACCTCTACGTTAGATTCTAAAGTTATATCTCAGTACCTCTACGTTAGATTCTAAAGTTATATCTCAGTGCCTCTACGTTAGATTCTGAAGTTGTTTCCCAGTACCTCTACGTTATATTCTAAAGTTTGTTTCTCAATGCCTGTACGTTAGATTCTAAAGCTGCATCTCAGTGCCTCAATGTTACATTCTAAAGATCTACCCCAGTGACTCCTACGTTACATTCTAAACTTTATCTCAGTGCCTCTACGTTACATTATAAACTGTATCTCAGTGCCTCTACGTTACATTATAAACTGTATCTCAGTACCTCTACGTTACATTATAAACTGTATCTCAGTACCTCTACGTTACATTATAAACTGTATCTCAGTTTCTCTACGTTACATTATAAACTGTATCTCAGTTTCTTTACGTTACATTCTAAAGTTTTATCGCAGTGCCTCTACGTTACATTCTGAAGTTGCAACATTATGCGGATTGACTGAAAGATTGTTGAGTTGTGAGCTAAAAACTGACATCTCAGCACTCGAGACATCAAATTCCCATAAGCAAACCACCCTTATCTTCAGCGGCCAGCGAAGCGATCCAATTTTGATAGCAGCAGTAGCAGTTTGATTGTGTGACGGTCTTGCCTTTCCGCTGAGGGCAGAGTTTTGGCCAGATCCGTTGAGCTTGTCTAGCTGGACCATGGTCTCCAGACCATAATGATCTAATCGTACTTCTGCACTGCCCACTTGCTCCCAAAACGCCTTGACCACATCGTGCTTATGTGACGGCCAGAAACTGGACACAGAAAAACGCAAAATTACCATTTCATCGCTTTCAAGCATATTGGGCACATGGGGCCAGACATATCTTTTAGAGAACAATCGGCACTTTGTGGTGATGTGCATCATTCCGGCCGACTTTACTTTCCAGCACTCAACGCTAGGTCGACCTGGGAGAAAAAATTCCTGTACAGCCAGGACCTAAATCACAACCTTCTACTCTGTAGGCGAGTGTCCAGCCTTTGTAAGATGGTCTCTCCCTAAAGAACTAAGTGGTCCAGAAATAAATGTATTCTAAAAAAAAATTTGCTCTGAAAAAGTAAACATCGCTAAAACCACCAGCCCATTTAAAGAAAACACACACATCTCCACACGTCACTACACACACGACAAGCCTTACGCATTGTGTCTCTCCAGAGTAAGGGAACTGTCGCCCTCACCACCTGGACCCTGACCTGCATGTCCAGCAGGAGACTGAGTGGTGTCCGGTGTATGCCTGGCCAAAGTTGTAGCCACCCGAACAAAGGCAAGGCGATCTTCGGCGGTGTTGTTACTGCCCCTGGGGGTGACCAAGCATAAAGGTAGCAGTGAAGTAGAATATAGGAAACATTGAGAAATATAGGACATTAGAATCTCTAAGTACCTTTTGCAAAGTCACCAGTTTGTCTTGTCCCTGTCCGATAACATCCAGTAATCCGTGCAGCAGGAGAAATTCAAACCTGAGCCTCATGAATTCAGGTGGGCCCACTCTCTGAAAATATTTGGAGCTGGTGGGCCGAAACATTTGTCGACGAGAGGTTACTTCTACTGATGATTGGTAGACTCCTGCTGTACATGCTCCCCTGTGCAGTTTCTTCTTATCTTATCTTAGGACAATGCAACTGGCGGTCCGCGGAGGTCCAGTAAATGGTCCGCGGATCATTGTCAATTGTATTTTATTATTGATCTGTCTGTACTGAGGCTTGAGCCTTTGGCCTGTGACAATCCCCTGAGTAAACATTAGTTGAAAAGCCCTACTATATCAGAAACTTCAGATGGGTAGAACATGTGCGGGTCGACCTCTACAATGATATAAACATGTATGCAAACAGGACAAGAATAATACAGATTCAGAGGTGTATTCATAAGAACATGGATGCCAGGCATCGCATTGCATGGACAGGGAATATTAGGAAGGGAATATGGAACATAGTCACAAACATACACAAACACACATAGCATCTCTTACATATTCAAAATATCACACATACACGCACACATACATTCTCTTTCTCTCTCTCTCTCTCTCTCTCTCTCTCTCTCTCTCTCTCTCTCTCTATCGCTCCCGGGGGTAGGCATAAAACCTAAATGTCTCCATGGTTTACGGTGTTTATCACGGAAACAAGACCGAAGGGTTGTGATATCCATAGTAGCGAGCCAAAGGTTGAACAACTCAAATTTTTTTTTTTAAATGTCTTATCATCTCTCACACATCACCGCTATCAGACACAAACTTATGCATCTCACCACACCCCACGCAGTAAATTATTCATATAAGATCCCCCCCCCCCACCACCACCACCACACGGTGCAACATTCACACAAGATGTCAAATACACACACTCACACAGCATTTTTCACCCACCACCAATACACACACCCAACAGTCAATCAAGATCACACACATACACACACTCACACAGCTTCTCTCAACCATCACGGAAACCACACACCTCACGGTGAATCACTTACTCTTGATTACACACACACCATCTCTCACCAAAGCCTAATACCACACATCACACAGCGTCTCACTCACACATCACCGATACCACACCACACAGCGCATCACTAAAACTCACACATCACCAATAAAAAAACACCGCACAACGTTTCACCCACACAAGGCCACTTACATGGCCACCATGACGTATGTGTAGTCCGAGCTGACCCTATACAAGCTTGGGTACATGAAGATGTCTAGACTATCCACGTCTCTCTTGACCATTCTCCGGACATTGACGTTGTCCACATCTCTCAGATCCAGAATCACCTACAGGTACAAACATGTACTCAATGGATAACGCCAATACCTTGTTCAACCCCTCGGGAGGTGGGGGAGGGGGGGTGTACAATGACCAAGGGTGCGTCATAAAGTTTCGGGGGGGGGGGGGTGTCAAGCAATTTTGAAACTGAGAGCACTTGTACTCGTAATAATCCGGATTTCCGGACTTAACAGTCATGAACATAAAACACAGTTGCTAGCTTGATGTGGAAAGTGATCTCCGTTGTGGCTTGTGCAAAATCAGATTAGAAAATTGCAGATTTTATCAAGACATAACAATGTCAACAATCATACTAATACATGGACACTATGTTACCAGTTGTCGTTGGTTTTTTTTAAACTTTTTTTTTTTTTAGTATGTTATTTCAGTGGAGGGTTTTCTCCAAGTTCTTTTTTGTTAACAGTGCTTTAGTGTGTTCTGTTTGTCTTCCTTTTTTTAAATCACATGTTGTTATGTCGGGGGGGGGGGGGTGGAGGGCGTCGTTGATATATACGTAAGAGAGAGAGAGAGAGAGAGAGAGAGAGAGAGAGAGAGAGAGAGAGAGAGAGAGAGAGAGAGAGAGAGAGAGAGAGAGAGGTGCCCTCTGACAATGGTTGCAGATCTCTGTTGTAGACTGTGTGATCATATATTTGTGTCGATTAAATATCGTATCATTGTGTGGACTTCATCTCCTTCGCGTTCACTTGCTGCAAACTCCAGGGGAAATTTTGGTTGTTCATCCATTAAGGACTTGAGTCTTGTTACAGAGCATGAGTTGCACAGATATGGCTTATCTGTATGCAGACTGTTGGTACATTGCCTCTGAAACAGGAGAACTCCGACTTAGAAATACCCGCTGCTTCCTCTCCTCCCCACCACCTCATTAAATTAACAGCGTGCTTTTTATGGGGGAGGGGGTGGGGGGGGGGGGGGGGGCAGCGGATCTATTCCCTCCTCTTCCATCTGTACAGAAATTGTGTTTTATATATTGATATATTTGTGTTGTTTAAATAATCATACGTTTGTGAAGAGTATATAATAAAATATGTGTGTTGTTCAAATAATTAAACATTTGTGTAGAGTTCATTCATTCATTCATTCATTCAGTAGCATGTCCCTCGCGGAACCTCGCTGCCATAACAACCCTCCGGAAAACCTTCCTATCATGAGCAAGATGTCCTGCGTCTGATACACCCATCTGGAGATCATCTGCCACATCCTGCACCCATCTTCTCCTTGGCCTTCCTCTTCCTCTCTTCCCAGGCATATACCCCTCCATTATTGTTCTCTCTAGACTTCCATGACGTTTCAAGTGACCAAAATATTTCAATTTTCTTTGTTTTATTGTCTTTACTAGCCAACCCTCTTCAATATTCAGCTCTTGAAGTATGGATGCATTTGTTCTTTTCTTTACCCAAGATATTCTTAGAACCTGTCTGTAACATTTGTATTTAAATGCATTTATGTTTTGTGTAGAGTATATAATAAAATATGTGTGTTGTTCAAATAACTAAACATTTGTGTAGAGTATATAATAAAATATGTGTGTTGTTCAAATAACTAAACATTTGTGTAGAGTATATAATAAAATATGTGTGTTGTTCAAATAACTAAACATTTGTGTAGAGTATATAATTACATTTTTGTGTTTTTTAAATAATCATACGTTTGTGTAGTATATGTAATGATATATTTATTTTGTTTAAGTAATCATACGTTTGTGTAGAGTATATAATGATTTATTTCTGTTGTTTAAATAATCATACGTTTGTGTAGTATATGTAATGATATATTTATTTTGTTTAAGTAATCATACGTTTGTGTAGAGTATATAATGATTTATTTCTGTTGTTTAAATAATCATACGTTTGTGTAGTATATGTAATGATATATTTATTTTGTTTAAGTAATCATACGTTTGTGTAGAGTATATAATGATTTATTTCTGTTGTTTAAATAATCATACGTTTGTGTAGAGTGTATCATGATATATTTGTGTTGTTTAAATATCTGTATACTGTTAACTATGTAATCATATCTGTGTGTAGATCGTATAATTACATCTTTGTTGACATCTGTTGACTATGTAATCATATGTGTGTGTAGATCGTATAATCACATCTTTGTGCTGTTAACTAGGTAATCATATCTGTGTGTAGATTGTATAATCACATCTTTGTGCTGTTGACTATGTAATCATATCTGTGTGTAGATCGTATAATCACATCTTTGTGCTGTTGACTATGTAATCATATCTGTGTGTAGATTGTATAATCACATCTTTGTGCTGTTGACTATGTAATCATATCTGTGTGTAGATCGTATAATCACATCTTTGTGCTGTTGACTATGTAATCATATCTGTGTGTAGATCGTATAATCACATCTTTGTGCTGTTGACTATGTAATCATATCTGTGTGTAGATTGTATAATCACACCTTTGTGCTGTTGACTATGTAATCATATCTGTGTGTAAATCGTATAATCACATCTTTGTGCTGTTGACTATGTAATCATATCTGTGTGTAGATCGTATAATCACATCTTTGTGCTGTTGACTATGTAATCATATCTGTGTGTAGATTGTATAATCACATCTTTGTGCTGTTGACATCTGTTGACTATGTAATCATATGTGTGTGTAGATCGTATAATCACATCTTTGTGCTGTTAACTATGTAATCATATCTGTGTGTAGATTGTATAATCACATCTTTGTGCTGTTGACTATGTAATCATATCTGTGTGTAGATTGTATAATCACATCTTTGTAGACTAAATAATTATAGGCTTTAAACAATCTGGGTAATTACACCGTACTTCTTCTACTCCTTTCTGACCATTTTTATCTATTTACAACTTTTCCATTAGGTGACCTAAATTATCGGTTAGTTTATTGTGTCCTATCGATCCGCTATAAATGATCTACTGCTGAATTTTTATATTTCTCTAGGGTTGAGCTACGGTGAGTAAGGAATCGACATCGCAGCAATAGGGACACTCCTATAAACACCCCGTTCCTACCTTCAGCAGCAGGGGCAGATTTCCGATTCTGATGATTTCAGTTGCATTTTGGATTTATATCCGTCTTGCTTTTTTCTTGATTGTCGAGTGTCATCCACATTCTAACAGTAGAGACACGGGCACCTGCATCGTACTCTACACCTCAGTACTAAAGGGTAGAGTCACAACGAGCTCCTCTGCCAATGCACATCTTCTTCGACTTCTTCGCGTTCAGTTACTAGTGCCATGATGCTAGCTGTGCACGCATACTCGCAACAGCGAAGCGATGAGGAGGGAAATATCACGTAATACGCTCTCCAGTATAATCGTTACCTGCTAACGCTTACATAATCGAACTGGTCACACCTCGCCACATAATTCTACCTTATACATATATAGGAGTGTATTCACCTGGGTTCCGAGCATGGAGGTGTCTTCTTCGAATATCACCAAGTCATGTTTGTGATTCGGCTTCTTGTTCTTCCAAATATCATCCAGCTGTCTATTAATCAAATAAAACATTTAATCAAACCATCTTTAACCACACAAGACCGCAGGTTGAACCAGAATCTTGTAGCTTTTACAGCTAAGTTTAACATTATGGAGGTTAAACGGGGATCTGGGTTATTCCTATGGGTCTGTGTCCCAGGCGAAGACTGCGGTGATCAAATCTTCAGGGATAAAAAAAGGGGCACATATTGACAGACAGAGAGAAAGACAGACAGTCAGAGAGTCAGACCAAATAAATTACTGAGATTCTCTCCTTTAGTCTTTTCTCTTCTGCAGAGAGGGGGGGGGGGAAGGGTGAGGGAGGGGTAAGTAAAAAAAAGTAAAGATCCCTTTTCACGCCTTTCGGCGCATCGGGCATATGGGCAGAGTGTCCCATATTTTTACAGACCATCAGCACTCTGTGGGTAATGTGGTCAGCATTACGCCGGCTGTCTTTACTTTCCCAGGACAGCCCATCCTGGTACCTATTTTAGGCTGGGTCGACCTGCGACGTCCCATACCACGACACAAATCCACGCAGCCTGCAGTGGGTTTCGATCGCGGTATGCTGGCTTACGAGTCGGACTCGCAACGCCTTAGCCACGGAAACATAATTTCTGTCTCATTAAGTCATTTCTCTTCAACTCTGGGATGTAGACATACATTCTTTTCTCATTTCTCCATGAATATTCTGCCCTGGAATGTAGAAATATTTTAAGAATCTTATTTACTCATTTCTCTTCTGCCCTGGGATGCTGACATATGTCCAACAGGTAACAGCTGGCAAACAAACAAAATGAAGAGATTGTCGTTCTACCTTGTCCGCGCTTTGAGATGTAGTGGGCATAGAAGTTAGTGAGTTAGTCTGTACTCTTGAGCCTAAGGGGGCGCATACAGCAGAGGTCATAGCTCTCCGTGTTTGGCCGTTCTTTGCCGCCTGGTTTCTAGCATAGAAGGCTGAACCTAAATTTTATAGACCAATCAGCACTTAGTGGGTGATGTAATCAACATCTCGCCGGTGGCTTTTACTTCCCATAGAATTTACCTGGTACCCACACAGTTCTGGCTGACCAGAAAGAGAGAGAGAGAGAGAGAGAGAGAGAGAGAGAGAGAGAGAGAGAGAGAGAGAGGGGGGGCAAGGTCATGTTTTAAAACATTTCGGCTCCGTTCGGATTCGACCTAAGACCTTTCAATCTGCAAGCCAGTGTCTAGCCGCTACACTACAGCGAAATCCCTCTCTATTGTTTTTCTAATGCAGTTTCTGTTGCCTCGCTTGTCGATGTTCCATGATGAAGACGTGAACACCAGCTGGATCCATCTCCTGCCTCATACTTGTCGACTAATCTAACAACAACAACAATGATGACAAATACAGTAACATTAAGAACACAGATAAGGACCAAACACCCCGACTTGACCTGAGCGCTGTGAGATCCGGCCAGCTAGCAGAGGCATATTTGACAACATGCTCCATGATCTGATCCTTCAAGGTCTCCAGGGTCTCTGCCCTAACTTCCATGACTCCGGACCCCTTTGAATCGACAGGTGGGTACATCTGTCACAACAGTAAACACAGGCTATAGTAGGCTGCGTTTTCTCCACCCCCACCCATTTCTCTACAGGTGTATTTATAAATATCCTCTAAAGCATGTACTCTCTCAAGCCTTCGTTCTGTCTGTCTGTCTGTCTGTCTGTCTGTCTGTCTGTCTGTCTGTCTGTCTGTCTGTCTGTCTGTCTGTCTGTCTGTCTGTCTGTCTGTCTGTCTGTCTGTCTGTCTGTCTGTCTGTCTGTCTGTCTGTCTGTCTGTCTGTCTGTCTGTCTGTCTGTCTGTCTGTCTGTCTGTCTGTCTGTCTGTCTGTCTGTCTGTCTGTCTGTCTGTCTGTCTGTCTGTCTGTCTGTCTGTCTGTCTGTCTGTCTGTCTGTCTGTCTGTCTGTCTGTCTGTCTGTCTGTCTGTCTGTCTGTCTGTCTGTCTGTCTGTCTGTCTGTCCGTCCGTCCGTCTGTCAGTCCGTCTCTCTGTCTGTCTGTCTGAATGACTGCCTGCCTGTGTTTCTGTCTGTTTGCATGTGTGTATCTATATGTATGTGTGTCCATGTGTTTGTCATCGTGTGTGTTTTCATGTGTTTGTCTGTCCACATGTCTTGATGTCCATGTGTGTATGTGTGTGTCCATGTGTCTTGATGTCCATGTATATGTGTGTGTCCATAAGTCTGGATGTCCATCTGTGTATGTGTGTGTCAATTTGTCTTGATGTCTATGTGTGTATGTGTGTGTCTATATCTCCTGATTTACATGTATGTAAGTGTATGTCTACATGTCTTGATGTCCATGTATGTATGTATGTGTGTGTCCATAAGACTGGATGTCCATCTGTGTATGTGTGTGTCCACATGTCTTCATGTCCATGTATGTTTTTCTGATGGTGAAATACAAAACATTATACCAAGAACAACACAGCGCCCAAACTGAGTACAACTGGTTTCCTTAGCGAAAACCATAGCGCCACAGAAATGGTTGTGTGTTCGTGCGCCGAGGGATTTTTTCGCGGGACAAATCAAAATTTGTTCGGAAATTGTATTGGATGGCCGATTTAATCGTGACTAGAGGCGTTCATAATCCAAGATACTATACGTGTAAAACGTCTACTTACTTGGGTGGTCTGTAAATGCGTCAGTTCTACAACAACAAACTCTGGCTCTATGTAAGTGACGCCGATCCTAAACCAGCGACACGTCTCACAGTCTGTAAGTCTATTATCCTATAATAAGTATCTAAAAGACATTAGTTGCGTATCCTTTACAGGACGTTGCAGAACCAACCCCAGCATTTTTTTTTTTTTTTGCTGTTGTGGTTTTTCTAGACAAATATAAGTCTAGTAGTTTGCCATTGCTCTCTGGACGGTCGGCTCTCGGTACAACTGTCGAAACCAACGCAAGACAAACCGTCCGCAGCTGGGATCGAACCCGGCACCACGAAGTGCGTTCCGAACGCCTAAGTCACATACAACGACTAATATAATAAGTATAGTATAAGCAATAATAAGCAATAGTATAAAAAAGATTTTGTATAAGCAATAAGTAAAAGCAATAATAGGTATACATGTACGTAAGTCTGTCAATCTTGCAACATTTTTTGGATATTTACCCGCACAAGAGGATAAACAGTTCGATTTCGCGATCTACATGTCGGCAAGTTATCCTTCTGGGAGCAATCAATGGCAGCAATCATCACTATGTCCCGCCAGTCTACAAAATAAAGTGGAAAAACAAAACCACACAGTGACAATCATGATTGCTGTGCTAGAACTGTTGTTGGGAAGTCTTATTCAAGGTTTTAACTTCACTACAATTGGGTTTCCTCATACTTGCTTCAGTTCTTGTGCCAATGAAAATCAGATGACATTTTGCTCACTGTCGCTTTTGGAAAATTGGTGAACAAACAATTGTCCCGGCAGAATCCAGAAATAAGAGCACGCAGCAAACGCATTTGGCAGTTTCTAGAGGTGCCAAAACCAACAGTCGAGACAAGAATTGTAGTTCGTTGGAAGTAGTCGGTCACTATATGATGGCTATGCACACGTAAAATTATTACATAAAGTATTTCACCAGCCCACACGTAAACCGACTACCGGCCACATTGAATACACAGCCGCTGCAAAAATAAAGGGCATTCCACTTGAAAAGCACAGCTCACAGGGCTACACCAAAAACTCAAACTCAGTAGCTCAGGCCGTACACTAACGTCCAAATGTGGAAAATAAATTAGCAAAGCACTGTTGTAAGCAAACATAACTTTGAAGCCAAACAATCTGCGATGCCTACTCCTCTATTTTGAACCGGATGCCTGGAAATAAAATGGTGAGGGAGAAACAAAAATGTTGTTGCCAGAGTCGACATGCATTCAGCCATGTCACATTTAGGTCTCAATACATAGAGTTATGCACTCTAATTTTACATTCAGTCATATAACAAGCAGACAACTGTACATTCATACAATCTTCAGTATATTGTACTTTCACTGATACTAACCGAAGGTCACTATACTAAAATCTCTAGACCACTGTACATTTATTCATGCAACTTTTTGGTTATTACCCGTTCATTGATGCAACCATTCAAGTTACGATGAATTAGTTAATCAATCTTTATGCTAGTGTACAGTCAGTCATGCAACCTTCAGGTCACTATACATTACATTTAGTAATGTAACCTTCAGGTCACTATACATACATTTGGTAATGCAACCTTCAGTTCAAAATACATTACATTTGGTAATGTAACCTTCAGGTCACTATACATTACATTTAGTAATGCAAACTTCAGGTCACTATACATTACATTTAGTAATGCAACCTTCAGTTCAAAATACATTACATTTAGTAATGTAACCTTCAGGTCACTATACATTACATTTAGTAATGCAATCTTCACGTCACTATACATTACATTGAGTAATGCAACCTTCAGGTCACTATACATTACATTCATGCAACCTTCAGGTCACTATACATACAGTCATGCAACCTTCAGGTCACTATACATACAGTCATGCAACCTTCAGGTCACTATACATACAGTCATGCAACCTTCTGGTCACAACACATACAGTCATGCAACCTTCTGGTCACTACACATACAGTCATGCAACCTTATGGTCACTACACATACAGTCATGCAACCTTCTGGTCACTATACGTAGTTATGCAACCTTCTGGTCACTATACATACAGTCATGCAACCTTCTGGTCACTACACATACAGTCATACAACCTTCTGGTCACTATACATACAGTCATGCAACCTTCAGGTCACTACACATACAGTCATGCAACCTTATGGTCACTATACATACAGTCATGCAACCTTCTGGTCACTATACGTACAGTTGTGCAACCTTCTGGTCACAACACATAGTCATGCAACCTTCTGGTCACTATACATACAGTCATGCAACCTTCTGGTCACTACACATACAGTCATGCAACCTTCTGGTCACTATACATACAGTCATGCAACCTTCTGGTCACTACACATACAGTCATGCAACCTTCTGGTCACTATACATACAGTCATGCAACCTTCTGGTCACTATACATACAGTTATGCAACCTTCTGGTCACTACACATACAGTCATGCAACCTTCTGGTCACTACACATACAGTCATGCAACCTTCAGGTCACTATACATACAGTCATGCAACCTTCTGGACACTACACATACAGTCATGCAACCTTCAGGTCACTATACATACAGTCATGCAACCTTCTGGTCACTATACATACAGTCATGCAACCTTCTGGTCACTATACATACAGTCATGCAACTTTCAGGTCACTATACATACAATCATGCAACCTTTGCGTCACTATACATACAGTCATGCAACTTTCAGGTCACTATACATACAGTCATGCAACTTTCAGGTCACTATACATACAGTCATGCAACCTTTGCGTCACTATACATACAGTCATGCAACTTTCAGGTCACTATACATACAGTCATGCAACCTTCGCGTCACTATACATACAGTCATGCAACTTTCAGGTCACTATACATACAGTCATGCAACCTTTGCGTCACTATACATACAGTCATGCAACTTTCAGGTCACTATACATACAGTCATGCAACCTTCGCGTCACTATACATACAGTCATGCAACCTTCTGGTCACTCTACCTTCAGTGATGCAATTTGCAGTTTATTGTACATTCACTCTTGCAGCCAGTAGGTCACTTTACGTTAAAACATAATATCGCGACGTCATCACATATTCATGCATGTAACTGTCGGTCAACATTCATTTACAGATGTAATCGTTGGGTCACTACAGGCAGGCATGTAATGACCTTCAGGAAATGGGATGTCCGGATGTGCGGCTAGGGCAATGTTGTGGACCTAGAAAATAAGTCGTTTCTTGTAATTCTATAAATGTTGGCTATAGGTTCGGCTGTCCATGCTTTTGTGCACACAGAAAAAGTAGTTTGGGGTGGAAGATGAGGAGGAGGAGAAGAAGAAAAAAAAAGAAGAAGAAGAAGAAGAAGAAGAAAAAGAAGAAGAAGAAGAAGAAGAAGAAGAAGAAGAAGAAGAAGAAGAAGAAGAAGAAGAAGAAGAAGAAGACCGAGGAGGAGGAGGAGGAGGAGGAGAAGGAGGTCGAGGAGAAGAAAGAAAGAGAGAGAGAGAGAGAGAAAGAGAGAGAGAGAGAGAGAGAGAGAGAGAGAGAGAGAGAATAATGGGTGGAGAATATAAGGTGAATCTTACTTGCAAAATCCAGCGCTACCCTCTTCCAGATGGGGGTAAAGGTCATACAGTGACCGCACCAACTATTGTAGAACTCCACAAACCACGCAACACCGCGGCGCCTGTTCACCACCTTGGTGTGAAACATTTCGGTGTTCAACATGGCCACATCGTCATCCTCGCTCATGTACAAGCCATCCCTGTAGCAGCAGACGAGTCCCACGTTGAGAAATGAGAGATACAACAGCAACATTGGAGCAGACAGACACAGTGTAGTGTGTGTGTGACTTCCGTGTGTGCAATATGCTGGCCGGGCTGTCGATCTACACTTAAAAGTTCGAATTTCGTTTGTTTGAGAAGTATAGTTTTAACTGTTATTGACTTCTGAAATTATCACGGCGAAACCATCTCCGTTGCGGCTGTAACGTGGTGGTTAGAGGCTCGACTGTCGGCTCAAAGGTTTAGACTTCAAACCCGCGAGGCGGATTTTGTTTTCTCAAAATTGGTTTGTACTCCACTGTTGACAAGCCTAAATTTTTTTTTTTTAACGTAAAGGCCTCCTCTTTTCTCTGATGCTATGCTGTACTTATCATTTTGCTAATATCATTCGGCACTCCGTGGGTAATGAAGTTAACGACATGCCATTACTTTCCACGACACTATCTGGTAGCCGTTTCAGGCTGAGTCGACATAGTAGCCAAGGTCCGTGTGAAAAAAGAATCTGCCTCCATGGGAATTTGAAGTCTAAAACGGGTATAAGGTAATGTCAAGGAAAGTCAAGGCAGCTGTCGTGATGTTTGCTACATCAGGCAAAAAGCTGTGGTAGGTCTGTAACTGTGTCTAGGATCGCAGAGCAGCGACACCAAAGCCGTGTAAAAGGTCTTTCACATATTTTAAAAGCTTTTATAGGTCCCTGTTCGTTTGTTTGTTTATTTGTCTGGTACAGTTTGTCCGGATAAATAAACACGCTATGCTAGTCACTGGCGCAGCATTCACGGGGGCCATAATTGTCCCTCTTGGGGAGGTTAAACTGTGTGTATTGAATTGGCCTTATTGGATTGCCATCCAGGAACCCTTAAGTCACAGAGGAAACAGCCCGAAGAAGACATAACATGTGTACTGGAGGTTAGTCCAGTGCATTTGGCACTCGTTGCTAACGAGCTTCGTAATGCCGGGATGCTAGGCTCAAAAGCGGTATAGAAAACCGACTGATTAGAAAGCAATGGCAAACTACTAAACCTAAAATTTGCTATTTAAAAAAAAACACACGCACAGCAGCCAAAGAATGCTGGGGTTAGTTCTGCAACATCATGTAAAGGCTACGCAAATAACTAACTGCCCGGGTATTTTCCTATTGGGGATAGGGGTGTGAAGGTGTTTGTCGGGGTACACCTGGCACTTTAGCCACGAGCTGTCAGATGGATCAAATCTCAGGATGCTTACTTACAGTTTCCAGTGTTTATATGTATGTATGTATGTATGTATGTATGTATGTATGTATGTATGTATGTATGTATGTATGTATGTATGTATGTATGTATGTATGTATGTATGTATGTATGTATGTATGTATGTATGTATGTATGTATGTATGTATGTATGTATGTATGTATGTATGCATGCATGCATGCGCATGCATGCATGCATGCATGCATGCATGCATGCATGCATGCATGCATGCATGCATGCATGCATGCATGTATGTATGTATGTATGTATGTATGTATGTATGTATGTATGTATGTATGTATGTATGTATGTATGTATGTATGTATGTATGTATGTATGTATGTATGTATGTATGTATGTATGTATGTATGTATGTATGTATGTATGTATGTATGTATGTATGTATGTATGTATGTATGTATGTATGTATGTATGTATGTATGTATGTATGTATGTATGTATGTATGTATGTATGTATGTATGTATGTATGTATGTATGTATGTATGTATGTATGTATGTATGTATGTATGTATGTATGTATGTATGTATGTATGTATGTATGTATGTCTGTATGTATGTATGTATGTATGTATGTATGTATGTATGTATGTATGTATGTATGTATGTATGTATGTATGTATGTATGTATGTATGTATGTATGTATGTATGTATGTATGTATGTATGTATGTATGTATGTATGTATGTATGTATGTATGTATGTATGTATGTATGTATGTATGTATGTATGTATGTATGTATGTATGTATGTATGTATGTATGTATGTATGTATGTATGTATGTATGTATGTATGTATGTATGTATGTATGTATGTATGTATGTATGTATGTATGTATGTATGTATGTATGTATGTATGTATGTATGTATGTATGTATGTATGTATGTATGTATGTATGTATGTATGTATGTATGTATGTATGTATGTATGTATGTATGTATGTATGTATGTATGTATGTATGTATGTATGTATGTATGTATGTATGTATGTATGTATGTATGTATGTATGTATGTATGTATGTATGTATGTATGTATGTATGTATGTATGTATGTATGTATGTATGTATGTATGTATGTATGTATGTATGTATGTATGTATGTATGTATGTATGTATGTATGTATGTATGTGTGTGTGTGTGTGTGTGTGTGTGGTGTGTGTGTGTGTGTGTGTGTGTGTGTGTATGTATGTATGTATGTATGTATGTATGTATGTATGTATGTATGTATGTATGTATGTATGTATGTATGTATGTATGTATGTATGTGTGGATTATGTCACCTTATGATGAGGTTACAAAACAGAAGCCTGTATGAAAATACTTATGCATTTCCCTAGTGGACACATTTTTGGGGGGTGCTACGTCTGTGTGTGGGTGTGCGCGCGCTCACACACGCACGCACAAACACACACACACACACTCCACCCCTGCTTCTCTCCTTCACTAAAACAACTGTCGAAATGACACGAAAAGGAATTACAAGATGTTAATTGTCTCTAAATAAATAGAAATGTCTGTACCGTCTCCTCGATAAACGATGTCTACAGTCTACCAGGCCTGTCTTACAAGGTGAGAAATACAAATGTGACATCCCAGTCTCTTTAAGGGTGTGACTCTCTTAATACTGTCCAGAAACGGAGGTAACGGTTTTTGTACTAATAGCCATTCACCGCAAGAAACGAACCCTAGTATTAAAGGTTCCTGGTAGTCGCATTCGCCACGAAGCCGTACTGTTGTCTGCATTCACACGCACACACCCACACACACACACAGGCACACACAAGTCAGTTAGCACTCCTGATCAATCAAACCCTGGACTTCACCCTTGTTTGCGGGTACGCTAACCCACTATTATCGCATAAAAATTTTAGTGCAACATTGCCAACAACTTCATCTCAACAATTTATCTCCTCAATTACCATTACAGGTGGGAAAAAACAACTGACTCAAGCCATGCCATTTCTGTGATCGTCATTTTCCATTCTGGAAACAAAAAGAACTGAATCGATTGTTTGACGGGTACGCCCCACTCCCAGACCCATGTTCTACAGCCGTTTTTTCCCTAATGCAAAACAATTTCGATAATCGTTTCTCCAAACAAAACTGAACAGACCAACAAAAAATGGCCATTCTATACTAGCGGTATTAGAAGCCTGTACATGTTTTTACATGGGAAACGTGCAACATCGCCATGCAACGGTTCTCACGATACATACTTGTGGCCCGCTTTCAGGCCTGGCTATTTATTTATTGATAAGAGCTCAACACCAGTGTGGCAGACATATTTCTTTCAACACTGACCTTACGGTGCTCAGGACATGCCGTTGTGTGCTTTGTCTCTGCCATAATTCTGGAAAATAAATCGCTGAAGAATTCATAGGTTTATAAAACAGCATAATGCACAAACTGGCATGTAACTACTGGCATATTCAAATGCCATACTTAAACATGTCAATCCTTTTTTATCAAGAGTATAAGAACATTCATTGGGCATGAAAGTGCATAAGGCGGGAAAGCTGGCCAAAGACAGTTTCTTTCAGGCAGACCATAATGAAAGCGACGTTCTGCAAAGGACCTGCTACATGACGATGATGAGAACATTGTAGATAATGATAGTTACAGTTGCCAGTTGGTAAAGAGCACTTCCGCTTCTCCGTTGCCAGGCTTCCTCGTGCTAGTACCGAACCGGATGTCTTGTTGTAGCCATTGGTTGGATCTTTCCCGTGTTTGTGTAGACAACATTAAATGTTCCCTACTCAGCTTCAATCTTCCCTTTCAGTTGAAAGAGCACCAGCATAGACTGGACAGCCGGGACATTTCAGGGAAACAAGTCTTTTGGCCCTTAAGGGGAAAGGGGGAAAGTTGAGTCAGTCGTGGCTGCCCGAACAGTTGAAGAAGCAGAGAAACGGAAAGGGAGAACTTGAGAAAGTCGTGCTCGACAGTTGTTTTGGTGGAGGATAGAAGCAGGGGTGGGGGGGGGGGTGTGTGGGGGGGACCGTATTGTATGTGATAGCCAGGACAGCTGGGAGGACAAAAGTTGGGGCAGGATGGAGGTGGGGGTGGGGGGGGGGTTGAATGCTGTGACAGCAGACAATTTTGCGAAGTAGAAAGACTGGAAGTCAGCTCTGTGGTTGAGTCGATGCGAAAGCTTCGTAATGCCAGGATGCCTGGTTCGATCCCAGCTGCGGGCCATGGGCCTTTCGTTGGTTTCGACAGTGGTATCAGGGAGCCCGACCGTCCAGAGGCAAGGCAAACTACTGGACGTAGATTTGCCTAGAGAAACCACACAACAACCAGGGGCTGCTGGGGTTGGTTCTGCAACGTCCTGTAAAGGATACGCAACTAATCAGAAAGACTGGAAAATGGGGCGGGAGGGGGGGGGGAGAAGAAGGCGGAAGACAAGAACGAAGGTCTTTTACCATAATTGCACGAAGGAACATCTAAGTCAGTACACGAGACAAAAGCTGTGAAGACACAGGATTACAAACGTCTCGGTCTGAATGTTGAGAACAAGAAGACAAGATGCCATTCATTCCTAACAGAAATATGGAGATGACTGTGAAAGAGAATTGACTGAATACTTGGATTGGTGGAAGGATTGGTGGAAGGATTGGTGCAAGAATTGGTGCAAACTTTAACTGCTTCAAGAAATACCATCCAGAATACCATCTGGAAA